TTCCTGCTTATTTCCTAAGCCGCTTGGAACAGTGATCACGTGTCATGATTTGCGATGTACTTTCAGTGCTCATGGGTACCAAGACCAAAAAAAAATAAATAAAATCCTTCTTGTGCGCTGATTCCAGGCTTTCAAAATTTGTGAAGTAATTTCAAATGTTCCAGCTCTTCTGGCTGGGAGCCTCAGTTCAGTTTGCAATACTTTTGGTTAAAAACAATGGCATAAACAAAAATTTATCCCCAGAATTCACACAGCAAGAAACAGACAACATTGTGAGTCAGACTACTGATTACAGAAATAACCACAAGTTTTTAAAAGTTTGGCAAAGAACAGTTATTCTCAAGTAACATCAAGGGTGCTCAGGGTACAATGCTCTCATTACAACATATTTTCAACAGAGACCATTTAATTCAGTTTTGCACATGAAGTATAATGTAAAAGAGGGCTAGGGGTCTAACAGCAAAATGACACTGGAAATCCTAAGAAGTTCTATTATGCAATTTAAGAACACATGGCTAAAGGAACAAGAAGAAAAGGAGAGTTCTAAACACACACACACACACACACAAAGATAACGAAGGGCAATACATTAAAAATAATTTAAAAGTTTAAATACCAGGGTTCAACAACAGAGACCCTCAGAGACAGTGGCCAGGCACCATTGTAGGTAGGAAAGAGAGCATCACTGGCCCACTTGGTATAGGCTCCAGGCCTTTCCCATCCCCATTGGCTCACAATTTCTGCTCCCCTGATAAGAGAACACGAGCTTGAGGAACAGCCATGATCCTTCTTGCCTCGCTCAGGTCCTCCATCCGAATTCCGCTTAGTCTCCACAAATGACTCTGTCCTATACTTCAAAGCCTCACTGCTACAAGCATGGGCCCTGTGAATCATCATCTGTATGAGGCAGACAGAGATTCTTGGCCAAGAAAAAAATTGGCCTGGAGATTAAAAATACAAACTTTAAAGCTAAAGTGTTTTTCTCACCTTCACAAAGCAACCCATACCTACCCTATCTTTGACCAAGAGCAAAAAAGAAACATTTAAGCAAGCAAAAGATTTGAGAATAGGGATGCACCGATACAATTTTTTTTGGCTGATACCAATGGCCATTTATTAGCCATACCCACAGATACCAACCTGATTGCCAATATGCAGCCCAGCAGCTTGGAGAGCAGCATCCAGCTGGTAAGTCTAGGAGGGGAAGGAAGGGAGGAACAGATCGAGGCCCCCACAGCAAGGGAGGGAATGGGGCTGGGGCAGGGCATGGAGCGGAGCTGTGGGCAGCTCCTCCAGGGGGGGAAGCGCACACTGGGGGAGGCATGGGAGGGGCATGTGTCCCTCCGCCCCGGATGTGTGCGCGCATGCAGGTGGCATTTATTGGGGACATTATCAGCCACATTGGCCACAAAAAGCTGGCTGCTGATAATGTCAATTTTCCTTTTATCGACGCTGATATGGACCAATATATCGGTACGCCTCTACCTGAGAAATTTAAGAACTGAAAACTGGGAGGAGGAGGGAGAGGCAGCTTGACAGGAAACAAACTGAACATTATATCTGGTGCTACCTGCATTGACTCGAATCAACTGACATGTAGGAGTAAACTTCATATGGGTCAGCAACATTGAAAAAAGGTAATGAGCAACACTTGCCCAGAATAATGTGTTAGCAGGTATATAAATGTCAATACTGTCTTGGGGTGAATCAGCCCAATAAAGACTTTGGGTAAAGCATACCATGTGCCCAGTTTACCCCCAGATCACTGGACAGAGTCCAAAGAGGAGCCAACTGACAGCCAGTTTGCCTGGAGTTGCCATAGGCTGCTTACACAAGAGTGAAGTGAAAGCTGGCAGCAGAACCACCCATGAGAAAGGATCTTTAGAGGTAACATGATAAACAGGCCACATAGGAATTGGCTCAGCAAAAGCAAAGCACTGGGTTCAGCATATAGTCATAATATTTCAGTACCATTGTAAGAAGCATGACTAGGGTATCATCAGAAAGAGAGCTGCTAGTCTGCAAGGATTTCAGAGCATAAGAAATGCAGAGAAGGGATGCTAGGATGATCAGGGAAACAGAAAACCTAAACTTACAAGAGCTTGGCTTGTTTGGACTAGTAAGAGTGAGGAAAGACATGATTTTTTATCTATAAACCCACCAGGACACTAAACAACAGGAAGCCAGGTCAGCTATTTAAGCTCAAGGACAATGCTAGTAAAAGGACAAGACTACCTAAACTATTCATGAATAAACTGAGACTGGAAATTAGAAAAATGTTTCCAACCATCACAGAAGTGAAGACTTGGAACTGATTTCCCATAGGAGCTGGGGGGATAAAGGCCAAACCTGGGTTTGGAACAAGGAACAACGTATAGCAAAAGAGGCCAGGGCTGTGTCACACATCAACTGCTCTGCATTAACTATGTGCATTACTTTTAACCTGTGGTAAGTGGAAGCTAAAACACAACATTTGAGATCTCTCTGAAAGAGGGATAGGCTCTCGTGTTCATATATTATAAGACAGAGCTTGGTCATTTTATGAATGGGATTTACCCAATGTGGTTGCCTGTAACTGCAGGAGACTTGATTTTATCAATATATGTCCCTCCCTGTGCTATAACTGTTCCCTGGCCAGAACATGGGCTCAGGTTCTACTACAGCCCCAGCTACTCAGGACAAAGACTATAACCGAGTCCTAAAAAGGATAAAGAAAAATTATGGACGTGTGAGCTCTACAAGAAGTCAAGGAACTACTCAAGAGGCTGAAAGGACTACTGATTTACCCTTACAAAGGGAGAATTTCAGCTTTTAATCAGAGGTTCAGAAACAGACCTATAGTGAATGATAAAAAGATTACCAGCAGTAGGAAACCAATGGCAGAAGATGTACCTTGACATTACAGAAAGATAAGCTGATGTTTCCAAACATTCTGCTGAAGGGCTGTGACCAAAGTCAAATTATTTAGCACTTCATACACAAGTGTGGAACTAACAATATGTACAAGATCTGCAAGTGAGCTAATCAAGATTCAAAACATTAGTTGGGCATGACTGATTCAAATCTGTAACCCTGAAATAAACCTAGTGAAAAAGAATTAGTCCAAAAGAAAAGCAATTCCATGAGTGATAATTCATTGTCTGGATCCAAGAACACACCGCAGACCTCACATATTTGAGAGTTCATGTACACAGTGGGAAATGTCAAGCACACTCAGGAGAGAAGCCAGTCTGCTAAGATACCCCTAAAGCTTTTATAAAAATCTAAACTTGCAGTGGTAATTCTGTCGGCAAATTGCTAAAGCAAGCAGAAGTCTGAGTGATAATTAATTACGTGCTCAATCCATTTCAACTGAATACTTACAGAACTATTTCCAAAATTCCCTACGTCCCTGGGCCAAGGAGATGTCAGCAAAATATCCACACCTTTGAATTTTGGAGTTGATAACAAAGATGTTTGTAATTCCATCACATCCTTGGAGCTAAAACTGTATGCAGGGGTTGGCTCACTCAATGATTCTGTACCACTCAGGTAGGCAATCTGCAATCCTGATGTGCCATTGAAGATACCTTTACGACCTGTATTAAACAAACATACATATAAAATATTCACGATTAAGTGCATAAGAAGATTTTATTTTGTGTCATTCTAACAAATCTCTGATTATAGGAAACTCTGGGTAATGTATTAATTGTGGTCAGGACTCAAATGATGCAACTCAGGGACTTGAACCCCTTCTCCATTAAAAAAACCATTGAGGCAGTCCTCCCAATTTATTTATTTTTTAATTATTCCACTCTCTCCCCACAGTAATGTTGCCATCAAATGCCCAGTATAGCAAATTATCAACAAAATTATAATACAAGAATTAGGGGCTTATGGTTGAAAATTTAATTGTGAAATCAGGAAATTCAGACCCAGGGTTCCCAAAGAGTCGTAACTCTGATCTTTAAACACATACCTTAATATACTGTATGTCATTATATGCAAAGTTCAATGCTACCCTTGTACATCTAAGAAAGAGGCAAATGAAAAGGTACAGTTCCTTTCCCCTCTATCTAAATATACTATTTACCAAATATGTTGGCATAATACAATGAGCATGATCACAAATTGAAGAACCTCACTATAAGGAACACACAAAGGGTAAACATTAGATAAAGCCAAAATAGAAATCTACATTAGCTAAAGACTGGCAAGTAAGATACTCTGACAGGCTCTAAAGGGGTGCAAAAATGTTAAGGTTATTGTTTAACCCTTCAATCTGCAAGGCTTCATATGCCAAAGGCTTTATGAGTGGTACAGCAGCATCTACATTAAGCTATGCATTTAAACAAAAACGAGTTTGAAATCAATGAGTTCCCATCTTTTTGGCTGTTATGTTTGGCCTGAAGCATTTTTTAGTACATTAACAGCATATGTTTACGTAAAAAGGCTTTATTGCGACGCATCCTACTGTGGCAATACAAAATAGAAGCACTAGACATACTCCTTAGAATTATCTCAATTGTGATAGATTCCTTTTACTGGTAGCATCGATATTTTAGGACCATTTTATCCTGTTACAACCTAAATCTGCAAATTGCCTCAGCAGGAGTTTAAGAAAAACAATGAATAAATCTGTTAGACTAGGCAGAGGGGAAGTGTGCTGTCAATTCAGACAGGACAAGGGTTTATTTGGCTTAGCTAAAATCCTAGATGTTATATGGAAAGCTGTCACTTTCCCCTATAGGAGGCAAAAATCAAACACATTTGAAGAAGGCAAATACAGGTTGGGTCTCAGACAAGTTTAGAGCACTGTTCTGGCTCAATAATGTATGACAGAGTGAGTTGTTTGACTGCACCTTCAACAAATACCTGAATATAATACATTACCTGTCAGCTTCTACACTTCAGTGCAGGAGACAGCAGAGCTTGGAAAGCAAGAAAACATCAGACCTGCTGACTGCCACCAGCAAGTTAGGTTTGTAGAGGACAGACAGTGAGGTGAGAACTGTGAGGGGACATTGCAAAGACTAAAGGGAGGAATGCTCACCTTGGGGTGGGTAGGATACTTAGAGGTGGGCTTTAACACTTCAGTACAAACTGTGCATGTGGGATATGGGAGAGGGTTTAGCTATTGCTCCAAATGCAATAAATGCATAACTGAATTAGAGAGTGCAGAACTGAATATTTATTAGCACAAAAAGGGGTTCCTCCCAACAGAATTGGCAACTTCATCAAAACTTCTCCCTGGGCTATTCAGGTTAGAGTGCCAATAGGCTGGGAAGTATAACGGAGCACAAGATTCATAGTTGATCGCCTTAAAGTACAGAAAAGGATTTTACCCAAACTTTCCAAAAATCAATTAATCTTGGACTTAAAAACCAAGTCTCAGAAATATTAGTTGAAACAATTTCTGGAGAAAAGAGGTTTGGAACAAAAAGGCCATAACTACAGCAAAACTTTAATTTGAACATTCCAGCAGAAATAAATTCATATCAGATTCACATCACAGAATATCTATACCATTACCTAAGTAAGTAATGTTTTCAGCTAATTCACATCCACTGACATCTGGAAAATAATGTACAGTCTCTTGATCATTGGCTCCCAACACATAGGTCTGAATAGGTGCTGAGGAAGAAATACACAAGATTAGAATCCAGTTATTTCAGAAGCATAACAATTATTTTATCCCGCAGTTCCTAAGGAAATCCCTTCAAATCCTGTTTCCCAAGTTAAGATTCATTATAGAAAAAACAATGGACTGTAGTTATACATCCCCACATCTAAATTAATAAATATTGCATGTGTGTTCCTTTTTTCCCTTTCTGCAACCATCCAGGAGAGAACTTGGCCCTGCACCTATTTCCCATTTTGTACTCGGGACAGTTTTCCCAGAGACCCACAACTAGGTCAATTCAAACCAAGATTTTTCTTCTCCAGCTTGCAAACAATTTTCTTTTATAATACCACCCAGAAACCCCATCAAAAAACAGCCACATTTTGATGGACTTGTACAGATAAGAAACAGTTTGGAAACAACCCCTATACACTAGGCAGGATAAAAGAGAGAGTGAGGGGAATCGGGAGGCTGAGTTAACAAAGCTTAGCAGGAAAACAATTCACAGCACTCTGCTTACTAACCAATGCCACAGGTAGGCTCCAATGAGAAATTTCACAAGATAAAGGTGATAGGCTTTACAAGTTTTCCCCAGGTAGCTTCTTTCCTAAGTGGGGTAGAGGGCTAGGAAGCACACCAAAGGGGGAAATCAGGGAGAAGCAGACAGACAAGCTATCAGGTAGTAAGTTGTACAGAATTCCACAGAGGGAAAGAATTGTGACTTACACTCATGGGACTGAGTGATAGCACAGCTGTGTGGAAACGGTCCTCACATGCCTCTCCTGTTCTGGCTATAGATTACTTAAAGTACTTTTGGACCTGATAGATGCTTGTACAGGTAAAATGAACCAATGAGCACCTCCAAGATGGAAAGTCAAAAGGGAAAGTGCTCTACCTCTGATTTTTTATTTTTTACCAATAGTTCATTTTAAAGAAACACCACCACACATACCTTGCTAATGCTGCTAGGAGGAGACCACTCAACAATAGGAAATCAGTATGGCTTGCTATTACTCATCATCAGCCTGAGCTACCCATCAATCAATGTCAAGGAGGAAACAACCCAGCCTTGCTGACTGGCAGAGAAATTATATAGAGAGCAATAAACTGATCAGGAACAGCAAAAGATACAGACCAAACATTACATGGACTGGTATGCAAGAGGGACTAGCGAATATTCCTCACAGCAGCACACATCCCAAAGCCCTCCATATGCATGCAGTCACTGGAAGCAGGCAACAAGGGGCTAGAATGGGAAGCAGATACAAATGCAAACCCTCATCCTTTCAGCACCACTAAGCACAGTGCCATCAAGTTTCCATAAGCAACAGCTAAATAGTGTATATGCCACACAGCCCCCTGACATTCTGGACTCCTTATGCAGCTCAGAGGAGTAAAATTAGAATTGTTCACCAATCAAACAAGCAACGCAATACAGGAATTAGATGTAAGCTGAAGACCCTGTTCAGTAAATATCTGAGGCTGTGTCCAGCAACATCTCAGGCCTTGTACTCATCCTTACCTTTCTTGACACCTGTCTGGTACTCCTTCCACTCTGTTTCTGAAGCAGAGCCAAAGAAATTTCCAACGCATAAGAGCATCTAAAATCATGAAAAAATAATGGAAGAACTCTTTATGGTGTTAAATGATAAAATATGGCTGCCTAGATATTCTGCCTTATTGTCAAGCATTTGAGTTCAAGGTGTAAACCTAAGGAAGTGATACTCCCGCTGTACTCAGCACTGGTGAGACTGCAGTTGGAGTACTGCATCCAGTCCTGGATGCTACACTTCAATAAGGACGTGGAAAAACTTGAGAGGGTCCAGAAAAGAGCCATACGAGGAATGGCTGAAGGACCTGGGCCTCTTTAGTCTAAAAAAAAGAAGGTTGAGAAGGGACTTGATAGCAGCTTATCGCTATATCAGAGGAGTACATTAGGAGCTTGGTGAACAACTATTCATTAGGGCACCCCTGGGGAAAACCAGGACCAACGGTATAAGCTTCTGGAAGGCTGCCTCAGGCTTAATACCAGGAAAACCTCCTTCACAGTCAGAGTGTCCAGACTGTGGAATAAACTCCCTCCAGAGGTGGTGCAGTCACCTACCCTGGAGGTTTTCAAGAGGAGACAGGACAGTCACCCCGCTGGGGTCACCTAACCCGTTGTCTTCCTGCCTAGAGCAGGGGGGGTGGGACCCGATGACCTCCGAGGTCCCTTCCAGCCCCTAACATCTATGAATTTCCCTCTTTATGTATAAAGGCTCATCAGAAACGATAAATACTGGGTTCTTGTTTGGGTTGGACTAGAGGACCTTGTCAGGTCCCTTCCAGCCCTACTTTCCTGAATGTGCTTCCAATAAAGGAACCATATTAGGGGGTTATCAAGGCTGTTATACCAATTAATTAGAAGGTGCTTAGGATGCTAAAGTATTATTGATTTTGTTGACCAAACTCTAAAATTGGCTGCTTAGGCTGCAGCAAGACTTGCCTTTTTAGACACCACTACTACCTGGGAGGGAGGACGGTCACTTTATAATCCCTGGGCCAGGGGGCCGTGGACAGTGTCAACTCCCTGGGTGCCAAAGCCGCACTGAAACAGCAGCTTCAGCAGGTTGGGAGATGAGCGC